ATCTCCATAGACCCTTGTCTTAGAACATTCAGGAATTGCATGCATTTCCCCTAAGGGGAACACATCAATGGAAAACATAATATACAGTTTGCCCTAGGATCATAGTCAATGGTGGGATTCAAGTAATTTAACAACCGGTTCTCTGCCCTAATGATTTCTTCTAGCAACCAGTTTGCTAAACTGCTCAGAAAGTTAACAACCGGTTCTCCCAAAGGGGTGCGAAGTGGCTGAATCCCACCACTGATCATAGTCTTCTTCTGAAGAGGCCCCAGGAATGCCATCAAGAGCCGAATTAAGTCCCTCATTCAAAAAAAAAAAAAAAGTTCCCGTAAAAAACAAGACTCTTTTTCAGTGAATGTCTAAGAATGTATGTTTTGGGAAGCAAAATTCTAAGACACAAATTCCATCCTCTCTTCCATCGTAGCAATAGCAGCCTTAGGGGTGTGTTGTCTATGATGAATAAGATTGATTGGTTAGGAGGATTGAAGATTGAACACCTTCGCCTGGTTCCTGAACCCTTGGGCCGTTCTTGCAAATATTAATTTTGTTCAGTCTTCTCAGCCAATTTGCCTTACTAGAAGAGGTCTTTAAGAGGAAAAAGGAGCATAATACTCTCTCAAGCCCTAATTAAGATTCCTTCCCTTTTTGTCGTCGTCCCCTCATTTCACAGTCACTTGGCAAGTTTCTGACGAAGCTCTTTTTCCCCAGGCTTGTAACATGCCTTTATTTTGCTTCACTAAATGTAGACTCTTATGGGTGATCCCAGTTGGATGGTTATTTGATGATTTCAGACAGCAGCAGTCATTCCCCCAAATTGTGCAAAAAGGCCTTTCATTCTAGAAATTCAGAATACTAGCCAGAGAAAACTAATTAGATATCCAAGTCCTCCTCCTCAGTGCCTAGACATGTATACATTTCTAAAACTTTGGATTAAAAAAAAAATCTTCCCTCCCTTAGCGAGGTTTGGGTTCAGGGTGCTTTAGGATTTTGCTTGCTTGCTTGCTTGCTTGCTTGCTTGATTTCACTTGAAAATATGAGGAATTGCAAATAGGAAGAGTTAAGAAAAGTGGTCAATATTATTGCAATTGGATTCAGTTCCAAAGGGAAAACGAACCCAAGTCATAAATAGGATGATGTTTTCTAAACTTTCCCAATTCCAAACTAATTCCAATCAGTAGCTGTCAGACTTACAAAGTATATCAAACAGGAATAGGATGGGATGGGATGGGATGGGATGGGATGGGATGGGATGGGATAGAATAGAATAGAATAGAATAGAATAGAATAGAATAGAATAGAATAGAATAGAATTGAATTGAATTGAATTGAATTGAATTGAATTGAATTGAATTCTTTATTGGCCAAGTGTGATTGGTGCATATGCTCTCAGTGTACATAAAAAGACAAGATACATTCATCAAGAATCACAAGGCACAACACCCAGTGACGGTCATACAGTAGAATAAGCAATCAAATCATACTAGGAAACAATCAATATCAATATCAATTGCAAGGATATAAGCAGAAAAGTTATAGTCATGCAGTCACAAGTGGGAGGAGATGTGTGATAGGAACGATGAGAAGATTAATAGTAATAATAATGCAGATTTAGTGAATAGTTTGACAGTGTTGAGGGAATTATTTGTTAAGCAGAGTGATGGCATTTGGAAAAAAACTGTTCTTGTGTCTAGTTGTTCTGGTATGCAGTGCTCTATAGCTTCGTTTTGAGGGTAGGAGTTGAAACAATTTTATGTCCAGGATGCGAAGGGTCTGTAAATATTTTCACAGCCCTCTTTTTGACTCGTGCGGTATACAGGTCCTCAATGGAAGGCAGGTTGGTAGCCATTGTTTTTTCTGCAGTTCTAATGATCCTCTGAAGACTGTGTCTGTCTTGTTGGGTTGCAGAACCAAACCAGACAGTTATAGAGGTGCAGATGACAGACTCAATCATTCCTCTGTAGAACTGGATCAGCAGCTCCTTGGGCAGCTTAAGCTTCCTGAGTTGGTGCTCAAACCAGATCAAACAAACCAGATCAGCTAATTCTACTTTATTGTAACGTTACATTAAAAGAATCTTGCAAATATGAAAGTACATTTCTTCCCCACACAGTTCCCTTTACAGCCCAAGAAACTAGGGAGGGTCCCTGCTGAGCCTCTTGCCCCGTTCACATTCCTACTGCAAGCTAAGCTGTCTTTTAACGGACCTTGGCTGATCCCATTGGCTGTGTCTCATTGGGCTGTCTCCCAGGGTCATTCCCATGTACCATTGCATCAGCTGTAATAAATGACTCCATTTGTTAATGCCAAGTATTACTCAGGATTTGTGTTATGATATCAATGTCATCATCTGTCATCATTTTCACATTAACTCATTAACTCTGCTGAAGACACCTATGAAGAAGCCCAAAAAAATAAAAGAAGGGGAGGGGCTATATTAGGTTAAGGTGATTTAACATGTAGATAATATGTTAAAATGGATTAATATCCCAAACATTCTCCAAAGGAACTACAACTTTGAAAAGGCAAGTTGCCATGTACATATTGTATATACATCCAGACCAGTCTGTGTTGTTTCTCTGTGACATATAATATGCAGTATGTGGGTATAATCTTATTTATTTACTTACTTACTTACTTGCTTGCTTGCTTGCTTGCTTGCTTGCTTGCTTACTTACTTACTTACTTACTTACTTACTTACTTACTTACTTACTTACTTACTTACTTACTTACTTACCGTATTTTTCGGACTATAAGATGCACCTACCTTTTTTGGTGAGGAAAACAAGAAAAAGAAATCTGCCTCTGCCTCTCTGCCTCCCAGCAATTTTGCCTCCTTGCAGCAAACAGCAAAAACAGCCTGCTTTACTTTCATTTTCGTTTTCAGCATAGCTTGATTAGCACAAGGAAAAAAAGATCTGCTCCAGCAATTTACCTCCTTGCAGCAAGCAGCAGAGGCCTGTGCAAAACAGCTGAGAGCAAATCAGCTGAGAGTCGGGAGGCCGATTCAATCAACTTGTGCTAATTAGGATGTGCTGAAGCTGAAAGGAGCTGTTTCTTCTTGCTGTTTACTTGCAAGGAGGTAACTGCTGGGAGGCAGAGGCCAAAGGGTGGGGGCCAGTGGGTGGGCAAGGCTACATTCGGTGTATAAGACGCACCTAAATTTTCACTCCCTTTTAGGGGGGAAATCAGTGTGTCTTATACTCCGAAAAATACGGTACTTACTTACTTACTTACTTACTTACTTACTTACTTACTTACTTACTTACTTACTTGTCACATTTATGCTGTGTATATTGGAGGTGGTGACCCTTTGAGAGTGTTATGCAATGAAATTTCATTTCACTTTAAACGATTAGTATACATTTAAAGTATCAATTAAGTGTCAATTAAGTTATTCTAAGTTCTTGAGGTCTGAATAGCAATCTTCTCCAACCTAACACCTGATTGGGTTCTACTTACCTTTACTACCAGTTTGCAACGGGAGCACACGTGCAGAAGCTTCTGGGCATGCACAGATCGTCCATTATGACGTCTGGGCAGGTGGGCGGAGCCTCCTGCCACTTTTACTACTGGTTCGCAAGAACCGGACAGAACCAGGAGCAACCCACCACTGCTGGTTGGCGTGTTTAGTCCTGCAGTTTCCAGAGCTTTCCCAGCATGGTCAATGAAGCTCTGGTGTTCCTAGCTCTATTATGGATGGTACTCCATATTATATGGAGAAGGGTAAGCTATTCAAATTTTAAAAGGAAGGAGGTTCCAGCCGTATCGCTTCTTTTTTCATCTCATTTGGCTTCAAGGTAGATGATCAAGTCTAGTAGACTTAGAGTGAGAAATAACATCATAACTAGGTAGTATGATGGACTGCAGGGCCGGCGCAATGTGTAACATGTTCACACTGGTGCAATAGGACTGGGTGTTTTGTTAATATGATTTATTGGGTTAGGGATTTTCTGTCCTCACTGTGAGTTGTATTGTGTTGTGGGGGGGGGGTACACTGAGGGAGCTCAACCAATCTCATTGCACATATGTTGTGCACTGACAATAAAGATTTGAATTGAATTGAATTGATTGAGAAACCAAATAAAAAGTTTGATGGGCAAAAGGGAATGAAGAAGAGAAACTTAGCCTGAACCAGGGGTGGGTTCTAAAAATTTTTACTACTGGTTCTGTGGGCATGGCTTATTTTGTGGGTGTGGCTTGATGGTCATGTGACAATTCTTTAGGATTTAGCAGAGGTACTCGTCTACCAGGCTTTTAACTGCTTGCAGAGCTGTACCGGTCTACCCATTTGTTCTTGGAGGCACCGGTCTACCCATTTGTTTTTGGAGGCACTGGTCTACCCAGTTATTTTTGCAAGCACCGGTCTACTCATTCGTTTTTGGAGGCACCGGTCTACTACCACACTGCCTTTTAACACTGATCAGCTGTAGGGCAGCCCTTTGAAGCCCCGCGGCAAGAGTTTAAACAGTTTTTTGCCTTCTAGCCGATCAGCTGGGACCCGGGAGGCAGCAAATAGATTGGGGGTGGGGCCAAATAAAAGATAAGAATAACAAGGGGGGCAGGGGGTGGGGGAGAACCGGTTCGGTGATGTCATATCGTCACCGCTACCGGCTCGGCAGAACCAGGAGGAACCCACCACTGGCCTGAACCTCACTTCCATGGCTCTATATTATGAAAGTTTAAGTTATAGTTATAGTTATAGTTTATTATATTTATATACCGCCCCTCTCCCAAGGGACTCAGGGTGGTGAACAGCCAGCAAATAAAATATACAGATACAAAATTTAAAGCAATATTAAAATCCAATTAAATCAATTTGGCCCATAGTTAAAAACCCTATATTAAAACCCCTAATTTTTTAAAAACAATTCCTTTTAAAAAGAGTAGGTCAGGCCAGTTTAAACTCAACATCCCTGGAGATCATGTGATTCAAGGAAAGCAACTTAGATCATGTCAATGAGATCAAAACTTTCTAACCACACCATCTTTCTCTTTTCAGACTCTGCTAAAAGAAATTAACCAAGATGAATTGGTCTGGTTTGGAAGATCTCCTGGGGGGAGTGAACAAATACTCCACAGCGTTTGGGCGTATTTGGCTCTCGGTTGTTTTCATCTTTCGGCTTCTAGTCTATTTAGTGGCAGCAGAGAAAGTCTGGGGAGATGACAGTAAGGACTTTGACTGCAACACTGAGCAGCCAGGTTGTCCCAATGTCTGCTATGACCATTACTTTCCAATCTCTCACATCCGACTCTGGGCCCTGCAACTCATCCTTGTCACCTGTCCTTCCCTGTTGGTTGTTATGCATGTAGCCTATCGGCAAGCCAAACTGAAGAAACGTTTACAGAAATGTGGGGATCACTTCAGACCACGTTATCCTCCAGGCAAGAAGCGTGGAGGGTTATGGTGGACCTACCTCTTCAGTCTTCTCTTCAAAGCTGCGGTGGACATTGTGTTCCTGTTTATCTTTTACCACGTGTACCCAAACTACAAGCTTCCTACTCTAGTCAAATGCTCTCTCTCGCCTTGCCCTAACCTAGTTGACTGCTACATAGCCAGGCCAACAGAAAAGAACATCTTCACTCTGTTCATGATTATTACTGCCTGTGTTTGTATCTTACTTAGCCTCCTGGAAGCTTTCTATCTCATTGGGAAAAGATGTAAAGAGAGCATTCAAGACCGAAGTGAAAGTCACAGCAGAGAGAGTGGCGAAGTACACTTTATCAAAAGAGACCACTGCTCCTTGTCCCCAAGTAAACAGGACACCACCGAAATAGATGGGCAGATTTTTCATGGGTCAGATTATAAACCCGTCACTTCACCTCTCATAAGCAACTCCCAATGTGGAGAACCTTCAAAACTTGGGAAGCTGGAATAAAATACACACCCATGAAAAAAAGAAGAGCTTGGGCCCCATCCATATTGCTCCATTCCAATACCAATTCCACTTTCCGTTAAGCTGGAAATGTGAGAAGTGTGAGAAATGGTGGCAGTTATAGGGGATTAGGAAAAAGAGCATTGATCTAGCTCTGTTTGTTCAGGTTTCAATAGCTACTGTAATTTGCCATGTAATCCACTCCAGGTTTATGTTCCAACCAGAGCATATGCACCAAAGACAAATTCCTTGTGTGTCCAATCACACTTGGCCAATAAAGAATTCTATGTCTATGGCAGCCATGCCCTTCTTCAGGGTGGTCCATTACAATCCCGTCTGCCTTTCTGATATTTTTTTTTAACCGCATCACTCGTAGGTAGCCCTCATGAGTTTAGTGTTTTCTTCCCCATTCAAACTCTGAACTTCCCCAGCTCCAAAATATTGCAGCTCTGGAAACCTAAGAATTCTAATGTCTACTGATTCTTTTGCAAGGGGTTGATGGTTCTTCTATCCAAACATGGTACTTCTTTCCAGGAGAGAGGGTCTTCAACAGCCATATTCATTTATTTTGATTCTTTTAACGGAAGGCATCTAAATTATTTGTCAACAATACATTGTTCTTTGTTCACTTTCAATCTAATTTTTAAAATCATCTCACTATCAAGGAAGATATTTGGTGAAACTGGTATTGAGATGGTTTTCCAATGAAGAGAATTTGGAATAAATAATAAATAAAACTTAAGACATGTTGGCTAATGGAGGAAAGGCAATGCACTGTGTCCTAGCCCCAATGAAGTAGCGAAGGTCCTAGCTTGAAAAATGTGTTTTTTTCATTTGCAGGAGCCAGGAATGGCAAAGAGGAAGATGCATGTGGTTTGATGGTCTGCCATCATTACTGCCATTCAGCTTGATGGTCTATGAGTTGTCAAGAGTGAATCTAGGCACAAAACAAGGCATATTATTAATAATAGAAAATCAAATTTTGGATAATAAAAATCTGTCTGATATCAATGAGATCATTTAGCATGTAGCTACTTTTCTCTTGGTTTACCGGAAGCCATTTCCCAAAATTTCATAGGACTCTTCACCAACTATATTTGGAGATCACAGGGTTAAACTTTAAGATTATTGGCATAGCAAACCATTAACTTCAATTCCTCACTTTCTTCCTGTTATGCTTTCTGGGTTAGGAGATTGGTGCTAGGCATGCAATAGATGAGAAATATCACAATATCTATTACAGCCTTGTGTAAGTTCCACATCTCAATGCCAACTGATCATCTCTGTTTTAAGTCCTGATTTTCTCGTTGATCGACAACTTAGCTTGCCTGAAACTCTACAAGCCACGGCAAACCCACTCCTCCTCTGCATTGGCACACTCCAGTAGTTAATTACGTGCTATTGATGGGTTAATTGTTATTAATTATATGTCACATGTTTTCTGATTCATTTCTCCACGTATGATCTAATAGAATATTGAGAAACTGTTTACCGCTGACCTAAATTCTCTTTTTCTCAATTACTAAGTTGCCCAGGGAAACTTCTGGAATAGTTCGTTTGATTTGGAGAAAAGGAGAAAATATACATTTTAGAAATAAAATAAATTGAGATTTTTTTTCCTGAAATAGAAATGGCTATCCATCTTGTGAACCAAGAACATTTAATTTGGTTTACTAATTTCAAAATAAATCACATCACTTATCTGTAAAGTATGTAAGTCATCATGTGTGAGGCCTACAAAATTGAGTCAACCCATTTGTTCATCTAGCTCAAGATTATAGGTGCTTACTGGCAGCAACTGTCTATGATCTCAGGGCAGACTATTTCCAAATTTTGATCAAGATGTCAGAAAGTGAATTTTTGATCTTCTGCACAGACAACTGTCTTATATTGACGTACACCAATTGTTATTCTACCTAATTCTCAGGGTTTCAGACTGAAATCTTTCCTAGAAATTCTTGGAGAATTCAGAAATCTGGATGCCTTACTTGTGAAGAACAAATCTCTGTGCTACTGCACTTTGACCTATAGTTGGTTTAATCAGAATTTTAGTTAGTTTTTTTGAGGAGCAGTTTAATTATAATAGCTACATTTACATACTTGAACACTTTTAGTATTTAATGTAATGATGTAGGCAATGATAAATAAAAATGCTGAAATTGGCTAACTACAATTATTTGCTGTCTTATTTCAAGAAACCTCACCCTCTTTCCCAAAACTCAGAACAGGAGTTCTTTGTTACAACTGGGATATTATGAAAATGTTTTTTCTTCTGGTTATTTTGAAATAAAGAAGGACTAAAAGGAAATTACCTATATACATATTTTTCCATTGTTTCTAAGAGTAAGTACATACTTCATTTTGAAGGACTTGGTAAATCCAACTTAAATTCAGGAATAGACCTCTTAAGAAAAGAATCTGCCATTGTCTACAAAATAGTTATTATTTATCTATTTATTTATTATTATTCATATTTCTATGCCGCCCACTCTCCAAGGACTCTGGGCGGCTTACACCAAAGACAGTATATTAAACCCCAACAATCTGGGTCCTCATTTTACCCACCTCGGAAGGATGGAAGGCTGAGACAACCTTGAGCCGGTGAGATTTAATCCGATGATCTGCTGAACTAGCAGTCATCTGAAGTAGCTGCAGTACTGCACTCTAACCACTGCGCCACCTTGGCTCTAGTTCATTTGAACATATTTCAAGGTTATAAATAAGGTTATAAATGTATATGCACTTGGCTGCAGGATGGGGGGAATCTCACCAAAATCAATGATGGAGATTTCCAAGAAAATATTGTCCGCTTGTTTATTTGTTAGGTTCAAATCTAACTTTTCCATTAAAAAAAAATCTAGTACTACTCTCACGAAAGACAATAAAAATAAAGAAATGGATCAAGGAATTTTAAACTGTAAAACCAACTTATCAAACAAGAATTATAAATGGTTTAAAACCATCTCATCACGTATCTCTGCAAATACACTGCATAAGGAAAGTCTAACACTAATTTGCATTTTTCTTTTAAAAATACAACAACGCTCGCACAGAGTGGGCCTCCTCAGGGTGCCGTCCGCCAGACAATGTCGGCTGGCGACCCCCAGGGGGAGAGCCTTCTCTGTGGCAGCGCCCACCCTCTGGAACAACCTCCCCCCAGAGATACGTACAATAACAGACCTCCGGATTTTTCGTCGGGCCCTGAAAACCTATTTATTTCAACTAGCTGGGCTGGCTTGAGTTAAATTTTAAACTGATTTTAAATTGGGTTGTTTTTAAATTACGGCCAAAAATATTTAATCATTTTAAACTGTTTTTTAAATTTTGTATGTTCTGTTTTTTTTTTTTTTACTCTGGCTGTTCACCACCCTGAGTCCTATTGGAGAAGGGTGGTATAGAAATGGAAACAAATAAATAAATAAATAAAAATAAACGAATTATAATTGTATTTCACAAGCTGGAATATCTGATGGTCAAAATTTTCTGTTTACCCTAGGGGTGAAATTTACTTACCTTCCCTACCGGTTCGCCAAAGTGTGCGCGCCGCATCATGCACAAGGCCTTCTGCGCACATGCAGAGGCTTAAAATGTTGCAAAAAAAACGACATCATGAAGTCCGCGTGGATGGGTGGAGCCTCCCACAGCCGCTGCTACCGGTTCACCCGAGCGGGGTGGATTTCACCCCTGGTTTACCCAGTGCAAATTGTGTTAATGTAGACACTTCCAACAGTGGAGGAGATATAAATAAGGACTGAATTAGTCGAATCTTGATGTTCTCTGAGCTTGGTTGTTTTCCTGTAGGTATTTCATGACTAGGCTAGGAAAGAAAGGAAACATCATCAGCACTGATCAAACTCAGAGAACGCCAAGAACCCAAAATATATACACGTTTTGTGCATTGGGATACAAAATTTGCATTTGGCATATCATTTAGAAATGTAAACAGCATTAAAATTCTGATGCTATAAATTTGAAAAATTTGAAATATGGCATGCTATGAAACACAAAATGGTCTGAAATTTTTGGTTAGTTTTTTTTTTAAAAAAAATCAATTAATTGGTGGGTTGGTTAGTTGGTTTTTCTTATTCCACCCGCCCACTTTTTCTGAGCATTGCTGCAACACCTTGTCATGACATAGTTCCTACCAATTCAGATGGGAAGAGAGGGAGAGAAAAGAGAATATTAATATATTTCTCACTGCATAATCATAATTATCCCCTCTGCCAGTGCCATGTCTTGTAATCTCTTTGCAATACGTGGATGTGAACAAATCGGATGTGAACAAAAGCAAAAAGTACTCATTCAAAAAGTTGTATGTCATGTTTTCTTTTTAAAAAAGGGAACAAACTTCAATAAACAACCTCTCTCTCTCTCTCTCTCTCTCTCTCTCTCTCTCTCTCTCTCTCTCTCTCTCTCTCTCGCTCTCGCTCTCGCTCTCGCTCTCTTGCTCTCTTGCTCTCTCGCTTTCTCGCTTTCTCTCTCTCTCGCTTGCTTTCTCGCTCTCGCTCACTTTCACACACTCTCTCTCTCTGTAGCTTTCTCTCTCTTTCACTCTCTATTGCGCGCTCTCTCTCTCTCTCTCTCTCTCATTCGCTCTCCTGCTCTCTCTTGCTCTCTGAATGTCTATTCCATGACTTACAACCACAATTGGTGGTTACAGAAGAACTGGGTATTGAAGTTAGAAAACCAAAACCAAAATTATATTCACTCCTAATGTGGAAAACCAGATTGGAGGCCAAGATAAAGAAATAAAGATCACATGCAAGTAATTTAAAGACATGAAAAGGCAAAACTGCAAGAATGCAAGGATTAAGACAAGCCTAAAAGAAGTTGGCTTTGCAGAAAAATGGAAAAAGTTTTGGAAACCATAAAGCAAGAAATAACAGCAATAGCAGGGAAAATTGAACGCTATGAGGCATGAATCACCCAATTTAAGCAAAATCAGTTATGTTCAGGTCTGACCGCATTCAGATCACAGGCCATTCTACTCATGTATAAATGGCAATAGAAATTCTGAAAATGGAAAACCAAATGAGACAAAAACAATCCAATTTTGGAAAGATTGATGGGAAATTGCTGGATGTTAAAATTTTGAAGATGAATTTAGTAAAATAAAATCAAACAGAAGAATTAATAACAGCAGAAAGTTAAAAATTGAGTTAAAAGAATTAAAAACTGGACATTTTCTAGAAATAATCAATTATGGCTTCTGGAAATAAGTCAAACTGTACGGCTTTTGGCTCAGATATCTGATTAGTAAGAATCGAGGTGATACAGTGGTTAGAATTGTAGGCTATCTCACTGTTCACTGCCAGGAGTTCAATTCTGAACAGCTCAGGATTGACTCAGCCTTCCATTCTTCCAAGGTTGGTAAAATGAGGATCCAGATTGTTGGGTAAAGGTAAAGGTAAAGGTTCCCCTCGCACATATGTGCTAGTCGTTTCTGGCTCTAGGGGGCGGTGCTCATCTCCGTTTCAAAGCCGAAGAGCCAGCGCTGTCCGAAGATGTCTCCATGGTCATGTGACCGGCACGACTAAACGCCAAAGGCGCACGGAACGCTGTTACTTTCCCACCAAAGGTGGTCCCTATTTTTCTAGGTGCTTTTGAACTGCTAGGTTGGCAGAAGCTAGGACAAGTAACGGGAGCTCACCCCGTTACACAGCACTAAGGATTCGAACCACTGAACTGCCGACCTTTCGATCGACAAACTCAGCTTCTTAGCCACTGAGCCACCGCATCCTGGTAAATTATTGGGACAATATGCTAACTCTGTAAACCACTTAGAGAGGGCTGTACAGCACTATGCAGCAATATAAGTGCTACTGCTATAATAATTACATCCAATTATTGCCAAGCATCTTAATGAATTATTGCATAAAGGAGTCATCAATGACTTTTTAATAACTGGCAAAACTTATCTGATTCAAAAACACTCAGTGAAAGGGACAACACCAGGAAATTGTAGGCCAATAACATGCATGCCTATAAAGTTTAAATTAGTCACTGGCATAATAACAGACAACATCCAAGGATGTTGTCAAAGGAAATAATATCCTCCCAATAGAACAGGAAGGAAAGAAAAGGAAAAACAGAGGAACAAAAAATCAGCTTCTGACTGATAAAATGATTTTGCAAAAGACTCAAAACTACGTGGCACATGATCTCAATTCAGTGGTGAAATCCATTTTTTTTTACTACCAGTTCTATGGTAGGCTTGGTGGGTATGGTGTGGCTTGGTGGGCATGGCTTGGTGGGCATGGCAGGGAAAGGATACTGCAAATCTCCATTCCCACACCACTCCAGGGGAAGGACACTACAAAATCTCCATTCCCACCCCACTCCAGGGAAAGGATACTACAAAATCCCCATTCCCTCCCCACTCCTGGGGGAAGGATATTGCAAAATCTCCACTCCCACCTCACTCTGGGGTCAGCCAGAGGTGGCATTTGCTACTCAAAATTTCCACTACCGCTTCTCTGAACTATTCAATATTTCTGCTACCGGTTCTCCAGAACCTGCTGGATTTCACCCGTCTCAATTGATTATGAAAAGGTGTTTGATTCATTACCACATAGTTGGATCATCCAATGTTTGAAAGCAACTGATGTCAGTAAAACTTTAGAATGTTCCTAGAAAAAATAGTGAGATAATGAAATACAAAATTGGTGGTAAAAAATGAAAAATATGGGCTTGTCAACCTTAGGAGAGGCATCTTCCAGGATGACTTTATATCATGATGACTACAAACAGTAAAACAATGTTGATAAAATCCCGCATTTGCTTTATATAGGTGATCTGAAGCTTTACGGAAAATCAGAAGCCAAAATCCAGTCATTGGTAAACTTTAAGAATTTTTTAGCACAGGTATAGCAATGGAATTTGGCCTAGAAAAATGTGCTATGTAGCAATAAAGCCAGGTAAAATCATGAACAGTAATTGAATTGAATTGAAATGCTGACTGGCCAAACTCCCAAGAGTCATCAGGATGAAGCCTACAAGAATCTGGGCATTTTGCAGTTGGAGAACATCAAGCATGGACAAGTTAAAAATGTGATTAGCAAAAAATATATCCAAAGAGTGAGAAAAGTATTAAAGTCAAAAAGGAATGGTGGAAATACCATCAAAGCTATCAATACCTGGTCCATATATGTAATACGGTACACTACTGGAATT